TCCTTACACGGCTTTCGTTACTATGTTGTCTTCACCGATGACTACACAAGGTTCTATTGGTTATATTTCATGAATTCAAAACAAGAAACACTAACAAAGTTCAAATCACTATGCAGTTTAATTCAGACCAAATTTCACACCATGCCGCAAACCTTTCGATCCGACGGTGGCTGCGAATTCACAAGCCTTGCCTTCCAAACATTCCTCAATGAACATGGCATTATACACCAGTTAAGCTGCCCGCACACGCCCGAACAGAACGTCATCTCTAAAAGAAAACACCGGCATATTCTCGAATTAACTCGGGCTCTTCTGCATGAATCCAATCTTCCCGATCAGTTCTGTGCCGACGTAATCGCTACAGCAACTTACCTGATCAACAGCCTCTCATCCAAGTCAATAGATCTTAAATCCCCCCACCACATGATGTACAATAAAGAACGAAGATACTCACACCTCAGCACTTTTGGATGCCTGTGTTACCCATGGCTCAAACCGTACACCTCCACCAAATTACAACCCAGATCCCAACCTTGCACCTTCATCGGATATTCTCAACAACACAAGGGCTATAAATGCCATAACAAAGAAACCAACAAAACATTTATATCCTGACATGTTGTCTTCTGCGAGAATGTCTTCCCTTACCACAGCACCACCTCTCCGACATCCACAAATGTTCCTACACCTCCATACCACCAGCCCCCTACACTACTTGTTCCTACCTCCACCTTACCAGCTCCCACTGCCAATTCACACTCTTCCTCTACAAAAACTAATCCGCCCACCAATCTGAACCCTCATAACATCAACCCTTCACTTGCACGCTCGCTTCCCATTTCATCTCCCACCTCCACTACTCACAACAACATCGTCCAACCTCCTCCAACTCACAACAAACAAACTCGATCCAAATCTGGAATTTTCAAACCCAAGAAAATATTCACATTACTTAGCCATACCGACCCTCACTACACCCCTTCCACCTACAAACAAGCCTCTCAGCATGCTCACTGACAAACTGTTATGCAAGCCGAGTTCGACGCATTATAGAAGCAACAAACCTGGTGTCTCATGCCCACTCCACCGAACAAGCATATACTTGGGTGCAAATGGACATACAAAATCAAACTTCATCCAACAGGTGAGATCGATAGCCACAAAGCTCGTCTCGTAGCCTTAGGTTATGATCAAATTTTCGGCGAGAACTACACCGAGACGTTTAGTCCGGTAGCCAAGATGCCCACCATTCGTACACTCCTTACCCTTGCAATCAATCAAAAATGGCAAATTTTGCAATTGGACATCTCCAACGCATTCCTCTACGACGATCTACCCGACGACATCTATATGCGTCAACCTAAACTACTTGACTGGAGCTCTAACCATTGGTCATATCTAGATTTTGCTGAGGTGGATCAGCCATCTCAAAACACTGAAAACAGTTATATGCGACATATGCATATGGAAAATAAAAAAAATGAGTGCTCAAAACTAGCTAGAAGCATCTCACTCTTCTACAAATTAAATCATATAGCTTTATTACAAATCACTTCTCCAACCTTGCTCCAATACCAAAAAACTCATTGGATTTCTCAAATTTAATCTATAAAAACCAATCATAGTTAAATTTGGGGCTGCTTTCTAAATCTATCAAAGAAAGGGTTTAATAATATTTATATTCAAGCAATTAAGGATATCTATGCAAAAGCTGTTACTTGTGTTCAAACACAATGTGGTTTGACTAAGTATTTTTCTATTTCAATTGGATTACATCAAGGATTAGCCTTAGGCTCATATCTTTTTGGTTTAGTCATGTATGTTCTTACTAGAAATTTGCAAGAGGTTTTTATCCATGTGCATGCTTTTTGCTGATGATATTAATCTAATAGAGATGTGGAAATGCTTAGGAGATGAAGGATTTTTTTTTTTGCTTACTAAACTTTTTAAATATTATTTTGAAAACTAAAATGATGTCAGATGAGTGAAGAATGAGTTTGTTGATTCATGTTTTTAAGAATAAAGCTAATGCACAAGATTGTGCGAATTATAGAGGAATTAAGTTAATGAGCCATACTTTAAAACTATGGGATAGAGTTATGGAGCATAGGTTATGGCGCGATACTAATATTTATCAAAATCAATTTGGATTCATACCGGATAGGTCTACTATGGAAGCTATACATTTATTGAGAGATTTGATGGAAAAGTATAAAGAGAATAAATAGGATCTACATATGTTATTTATTGATTTAATGAAAGCATATGATAATGTCTCAAGGAAGTGATGATAAAGTTGAAGAATCTACCCGACTATGACTCTAGATGGAAGTCGTACAATTGTGAAGCATTAGTTTCTATCTTTCCACCTTGGGGACAATGTGGGTCTTTAGGAAGGAGATATTGTTAGACCAATCCCTGGACCGATCCAGCTGTTCCATCATGGACCGGCCCTAGTATACAAGAGGCAAAACAAGAGTTCTACGTAGTAGGGTTTGGACCCATTGAGGTGGGGTCCAACAACCTAGTGTAAGAGGGAATTAAGTTGGGATTAGGAGGTATAATTTAAAAGGATGGGCTATTTTAGGATTTACTTCATTATTGTATGCTTTATGTGGGATTTTTCCCTAGGGTTAGGATTATCTCTTGTTTGCTGAAATTGTAGTGTTCTTAGGGTGTTTTGGGCTCTAGCCGACGGCTAGAGAATTGGGAGAGCCAGATCCTCCTCTTCGATTGAGGATCTTATTGCATCTTGCTTTTCTTTGCTTAATCTTCTAATAAAAAAATTATTGTGGATGTTCTTCTTCCCAATTTTTTTAGTTTTATCCACATATTTTTGTGAAAAGTGCTTCTACTTTCTATCAAATTGGTATCAGGAGATGTCCTAGGCTAAAATTGAGGCCTTTTCTTACTGATTTTTGCAAAGTTTTCCCCTCCAAAGTACAGACTTCTACTGTTTGAAAACCAAAATTACTAGTTTTTGTATACATTTCACTTCATAGCATCAATCTTGATTTCTTAGTGTAATATGTGATTGTTAAAATCAAGCATAAGCTTTAGGCTGATGGGTCAATAATTACTATATTCTACCTATAATAATTTGTGCTATCTCTAGGACATATATCACATCATATTTGATTCTCAACATATTTATATTTAGAAAGCAGTCCTAAGAGAAGCCATAGATTAGAATCAAAGCACTTGTTGTGTCGCCAGACTCATCTCATCAAAACATTCGTTTTGTCTAAAAATTTATTAAAATCAGATTTTGAATTATTTTTAAATTTAATTCCTAAACTTTTCAATATAAATATGACAGAAATATTCATATTTAGTCAGATAGATTTTCCGATAATACCTCAAATCTAATTAAGAATAATTATATTTTTTTTTAATATATTTTGATATCATAAAAAGTAGTACTATGTTTGTTTTTTTTTATGAGAGAAATGATAGACTTTATTAAAAAATAATCAAATTTGATGAAAAAAACATCTATGCCCTTTTCTATACGAAAATGAGAAAGAACAAAAATGTCATTTTCAAAATCCATTATTTGAGAAGGATAAAATAAATAAAAAACAAAAATGTCATTATCATGAATTTTAGTGAAAATTTCGTCCAAATCTGATATCTGATTTGCCCTTCTCATTTAATTATTATTTTTAATTTTGGAACCTTCTTGATCCGACATTATAATGTAATCCATAAAAAAAAATATATATATATATATTGAAATAATCCCCTAACTTTTAACTTTTTGTCCAATTCCCAGCATGAAATTCACGTGCAGCAAATTTCAATTTTTATATTTATTTTAATTATTAATTTAATAAAAATTTATATCAATTTTTTAATATGAAAAAGTAGTTATAAATCAAAATTAAAATTAAAAAAATAAAAAGAAAATAACACATCAATATAAATACTTTATTTTTTGGTTAATATCAATTATTCCAACACCCCAACCATTGTGTTTGGCAATTTTAAAGTGCATAGTATAATAATATTCCTTAATTAAAGTTTGTTATAATATTCTAAGAAAAAAAACTTAGGTTAGGATATCTTAGTCGAATTCATGATAGATTTTAAAATGTTTGAATTTTTTAGATGAATATAATACCTTAAAAATATTTATTTGAATTTTTTTGATGTGTTTTATGTCATAATATAATCAACTGATTACACATCATAGATAGTGGCGAAGTTAGAATTTTTTTAAATAGGGATACAAATTAATTTTTTCATTAACTATGCTTCTTTATATTAAGGTCATTTCTAACTGAACACTAAACGAGCATTTGCTGTCAGCCACAAGCTTCAATCGAAAGTAAGATTCAGCGGCATTTTGGTGAGGTGAACAGTATAAAGTCAATATTGACGTCGCACTATTTACAAACACAATTTTTTTTGTTGGAGAAAGAATATAATGTTATGAAATTGAGTTCAGTTAGAGATGAATTACTGTATTTTGAAGTGTTATTGTATTTTGGTGTGAAAAATGAGTTTTTTTTTTTTTAATTTTTCGGAGATACCCTAAGCCCTCATCCCATCAATGAGCTCCATCGTATGTCTTCTTGTAACTCTTCCCAATATGATCCTATCATGAATTCCTGGCTTGGAAGCTCAACTGTTGGAAACTTTTCCTACGAGAGATTATTACGTGCAGAGTCTGGGTAGAAAAATCGTCCGATTTTTGTGAGTGTGCGCGGTAAAAACACAATTACTGTTCACCACACCACTACATTTTTAACGCGCACACTCACAAAAACCAGACACAACTTCGATCCAAACACCACACTTAATAATCTTCCCTTTCCAACAAGATGTGCAATGACTTTTTCTTCGTCATCTCGAATTTTATCAAGTTTGATAATAGAAAAATAGAGTTATGCTATATAAATAATAAATTTCGAAAATTAAATAAATATATAAACGTGGTTATTTTTAGTGCTTTTGTGAAAATAAATAAAATAAATAAAATGCCGGTTCAGTCTCAGTCCCTGTTCACTCCCTCTTCGTTCATTCCAGTATTGGCAAGAGGGAGGGAGAGGAGAATATTTCGCCGTTGGTTGCTTTTTTACTACGTCGGACAAAAGGAGCTGCTTTTTCGGCAGCGACGATGTCTTCTCCCTTATCTCCTTTTCCGGCGCCGTCAACCTCCCCTACGGTGCCTGTCACTGCCTCTCCCACCTCTCCTCCTCATCCTGCTCCGGCCAGGGAAACTCAACCAAGCTCCCCATCTCCGCATCCTCCGCCAGCTACAGTGCCGTCTCCCGCGCTGGCGGGGAAAGCATCACCGTCGAGCCGGGTTCCAACGACTGGATCATCGGGTTCTAGGGGAGAAAGGCTGCCTTTACATGCTTCGCCCCGTTCGCCCCGTTCTCCCCCGTTGCCCCCGTCGCCGCCGTCGTCGTCAAATAATTTATCGCAGGCGCTTGTGGTAGGTTTGGCCGCAGGCGGAGTGGTGATATTGTTACTATTAAGTATTGCTTGCTTTTGCTGCTTTAGTAAGAAGCCACAGCGACCGCGGCCTCCGCCGTCGCCGTCGCCACTTCCGTATTACTTTAATGATGCTCCGTCGCCGCCTCTCCCAGTGAAAGGTACCGTTTTTTTCCCTACTTCTACTACTTTTTTTTTTTTTAATTATTGTCTTCTCTTGCTAATTGGTGCTGCATGTATTTGATCAATTGTAGATTTGTCTGATGTAGTTGGTACGTTAGGGCATGAGTCATGGAGCAGAGAGTTCTATTATTATTATTTTTTTCTGATTACCTATTCCTGGGTGCTAAACTGTCAGCTTGCTCGATTGAACTTTCCTGTTTTATATTTTAATTATTATTTTTTTGTCATTTTCTTGTCAAGCAAGTTGATTTGATTTTGATTTTCATGTATTTTGGTTTGTTTTTATCATTTAGCCGTTTAAGCCTAGTTGCCAAGATTAGATCTTGCGTGCTATTTATTGTTGTTTCAGGTGATCTTTTTTATTTTATTTTTTGTCAAAGTGGCTGAGAAGATCCAAGGGATTTAAGGTTTATCTGGTATTCTATATATCATTTTGCTGTCCTGTGAACTGTGATCTTCTTGTTTTTTATTTTTTATTAACGTTAATCAATTGAAGAAAACAGCTGCCGGAATTTGTATCATCGATAATTCCCTTTTTTCCTGTCCACCTCCAATTTAGAAAGGCTGGTATTTTTGGATTTTCTATTGTTAGCAATTGTTGGAGAGGTGGTTGTATTTGGTTTTGGTTAATTGAATACAGGAGTTTATATATTTATATGTGTGTGTCCCCACTAGCTAACACCTATGGTTACCGCAAAGAATGCTAACACTCGCTCGACATAAAACAATATATGTGTGTGTGTCTATCTCTCTATCTACTAGCTAACACCAATGGTTACCACAAACAATTGCTAACAGTTGCTCGACACTAAACAATAATGATGATTGTCAATGACCGTTTTTTCCTTATGACAATCAATGTCAATGTTTGTAAGCGCTCAACCATCATCATCCACCATCAATTGATTATGACAACTGTCCTTGCTCGACCTCATTCACTGATAATTGGCCATGATTGGCATTCATCACTCCTCATTGTTTGTCTAATATTTTTCACTACTCTGACAAAAGACAGAGACAACAATTCAAACATCATAATATTGCATTCTCCAGTAACGGGAAAGGCAGTTTTGTAATCTTCACCGTTTATAGTCGGTTATTTCAATTGGATTAGGTCTTGTGATTTCTCACTTTTATAATTTCCGCGTATGATCGTCTGCATCTCATGTGCTTCTTTTCTTTGCATGTGTGCAAAACTTTGTGCAATGCTAAGATAAAGAATTCCCGCTATAGTGCCATAAATTTTCTAGCATTCAACAATGCCCTAAAGCCTTGGTAAAGATGTAGGTAATTATTTTCCGCTGGAGAATGTGAAGTGTTGATCTTTTCCAACATGAATATATCTTAGATGAATTGACAATTGATTTTAATATATTTAGTTCTTTCATAGAAGTTAGGATTACTTGCAATGTAGATAGCTATCTGATTATTATAGTTAAGGATCCTAAATTTTGTGTGGGCAAGCCAAATTCTTCTACTAGAGTATTAATCCACATCATTTCCTAAGCAAAGTGATATGTGAATTTTTATTCAACTTTAGCACTAGATTTGCTTAGGGATTTGAGTAAACCAATGCACTCGATGAATAACTCTAACTTGGCTCGATTAACATGCGTTCAAGTTAATTATTAAATAAATTTAAATGCTTTTTAAAAATTTGAAGTCAAATGCTAATTGAACTAAGCTTGAACTTTGTCTAACTCGCTTATTTATATTCATAAACTAGCTTGTTTGTTGTTGAAAAAGTAGCATATTAAAGGCCGATGTTGTCTGGTACATTATTTAATTAAATTTTAGTTAAATAAAATTTATTTAAGTACTTATTTAATAATTGTTTGTTATAATTTAATATTATTAATGTCGCAGGATTGATTATTAATCACATATTTTTACTGATATCTGTTTATTTAACTTATCTTAATTGTATAAATATCATAATTATGTTAATTTATTCAAATATATATTTTCATTTTTTATTTCTTAATGTTTTTTTAAAGTTAAAGTAAAATTTGATATCAATAAGATTTAATTTCTAGACATTAATAATAAATTATGGTATTTTTAATCAATTAAATTTGATGTAAACCATTATTATTAATTGTTATTAGTGAATCTGTGTATTGCTTCTTATCCAAGTAAGCATTTTTTTTTCTCTATAAAGTAAGTATTTATATTTAATTTTGAGCTCTCTATTTTTCTTCAAATTAATTAATCCATTATGAGTGACTCTACATGTTGATTTAATGCATTTTTTCTAATTTATCTATTTCAATAAATAAGTTTGATGATATTTATATATGTTATATGATTACTAAAAAGTTTGCTCATGACTTATTTGTTATCTTATTTAATTAATATTAAGTGATTAGAGACTAATTTTAGATGTATTAAATTACTTTTTATTTAGATTTGAAAAATTATCTGGTAATATGAGAAGTTAAGTATTCGTTCAAAATTTTAGCTTGTTTGTCAGCTCGTTTAAGAAGTAGTTCAATTAATTTAGATAAGCCAGGTATGACTATAATAGATTTTAAACAAGGCAAGTATATATATATATATATATGTGTGTGTGTGAAAGTGTTGCTCGAGCTCAATTCGAACATGAAAAACTTGAAGTATGATCAAGTCATGTCCAATCCATGATGTACGCAGCTCAGCTCAGCCACGGCCATATATGCTACAACAATATGCTTCTTTTCCAATAGATTAGATTGTCACCCATAAAGAGGCTATCCTTAAGTAGACGTTTGAACTCAATATCAAACATAATTTACATTGGAATAAGATTCAATTCTTAAATTATATATTTCTAATAGACTAAACCTTTTTCTTAAACATTTCTTATCTTAAAATTCTTAGGATAACATCCTAATATTTTATTTTTGTGTTTTTTCATATATTAACTAACTACACCAACAAGAAGAGATATATTAGATCAAGATAGTCAGATGGATTAACTTGCATACCAGATGATAATAGGGAGAAACATCAATATTGGATGATTGAAAAGTATCTATGGGAGAGTCAATAAGCTTGCATCGAAGAAGCTGGTTTCATCATAAATGTGGCATATTTTCCTTTAGACAGAACATTATCCTTATTATATATAAAGTCATGGCCACAAAAGTATTTTGGGAGCCTTAGATGTTTGATTTCAAATATCTTTTGAGGATATTATTTTATGTCATTAATGCCTGAAGCAGCACTCCCAATGGGTACAATGCCATCAACATACATAACAAGAATCATTGTGTCGAAGGAAGATCATCTACAACAACAACAACAATAACATCAAGCCTTTGTCCCACTATGTGGGGTCAGTTACATGAATCCTTTTTTCTCCATTGTGTCCTGTTAAAAGTCAAATTCTCGTTTAAATATAATAAAAAAATATCAATTCTAATATTTTATAACCAAGTCTTTTTAGGTAAACCTGTAACTTTCTTAACATAAGTCAAATCTAATACCTCTAATTTCCTAACAGAGTCCTCGGAAGGCCGCCATTTTATGTGGCCAAACCATCTAAGGCGACTCTCCTTAATATTATCTTCTACTAGAGCTACTCCAACCTTTTCACGGATATGCTCATTTTGTTTCCTATCTCTAAGGGTAAAGCCACTCATCCACCTGAGCATCCTCATCTCTGCAACGCTTAGCTTAGTATTATGCTTCTCTTTTAATGGTCAATATTCTGCACCATAAAGCATTACATGTCTCACCACCATCTTATAGAATTTTCCCTTAAATTTGAGGGGGGACTTTTCTATCACACAACAAGCCCGATGCATTCCTCTACACCAACCATCCAACTTGAATTCTGCTGATAATATCCCCATCTATTTCACCATCACTCTGAATAATAGATCAAAGATATCTAAATCGTGTACTCTTATTAATCACTTGATCAAGTCACAATCCCCTCACTAGGTCTATTAATACTAAAATTGCACTCCATATATTCAGTTTTAGATCCACTCAAGCGAAAATCTTTAGACTCTAAGGTCGACCTCCATAATTGAATTTTACCTTCAACTCCCTCTCTAGTCTTATCAACAAGAAGAATATCATCAGCAAAAAACATACACCAAGGTACATCCTCTTGCAAATGTCTAACATCCATGACTAAACCCAAAAAGACATGGGCTTAAGGCTGATCCTTGATGTAATCCAACCGAAATAGGAAAATACTAGGTCAAACCACATTGTGTTTGAACACAAGTAATAGCTCTTGCATATATATCTTTAATGATTTGAATATAAGCGTTAGTAACTGATCAACAACACTACTATATAGTTCAATATCAGCCAAAGCTTTAACTTGTAGAGCCAAGCATGAGGACTATGTTTTAGACCGCTAATAACTTTTTGAAACTTGTATGTTCTGTTCTTCGTCTGATATGTTTATTAATCTGTACTTTTGTTGTGTTTATGCTTGCAATTGTTTAACAGAATTCAGCATTATGGTGAGATCTAGTACTGGTTATCTTATGGTGGCGTGACTTTCTATGTTAACATTTTCGTTAGCTTTTGATTGAATCAGAATTTCTCTTCTCTGTTTATTATCAGATCATTCATATGAACAACACCAAATTTGGCACAATGCTCCTCCACAGGTAGATCAAGTTGTCAAAATAGCCCCAAATCCACCTTTACCACCCTTTGCTCCAAGCCTTCCCCATCATCCTGTCCATTTTCATCCACCTCCTCCTCCGCCACTAGTTCCCAGCAATAGTGAAGGTTCTGGATCAAGTTATTCTGGATCTGACAATCCACCACCTCCACTGTTACCCGGCTTTGCACTTAGCTTCTCGAGGAGCACATTTACATATGAAGAGTTGGCAATGGCGACAGATGGGTTCTCTGATGCTAATCTTCTTGGGCAAGGTGGGTTTGGATATGTTCATAGAGGAATGCTGCCAAATGGTACTGAAGTTGCTGTTAAGCAGTTGAAGTCTGGTAGCGGGCAAGGTGAGCGTGAGTTCCAGACTGAGGTTGAAATCATCAGCCGTGTGCATCACAAGCATTTGGTCTCATTAGTTGGATACTGCATTGCTGATGGAAAGAGATTACTAGTTTATGAGTTCATACCTAATAATACATTGGAGTTCCATCTTCACGGTAAGAATTTGGTCTCTAAATTTGTTGTTTTATTCTTTGCAATTTAATGTGATATTTACTTAAAATTGTGGTAGTGTTTGTGCTGTGATATTTACTTAAAATTGTGGTAGTGTTTGTGGCTGTTAGTTTGGAGATAGATTGTATGAGTATTGTCTTCGTAATTAGATTAGGGAAGGTTTAGGCTGTCTTATTTTACAGTTTTACAAGGGGATTTTACATGAATCGAAGAAATATTGATTCAGAGTGAAGAATCAATAAAAGTGGTCCCATATAGTTCAATAAGGTTGTAGGTGATGGAGTTGTATTTGTTTTGTTTATCAAACTGGTTTTAAGATTTAGAATATTTTCATCATTTTTTTCAAAGCTCGACATTGATTTTTTTTGTTTTTCTATTGGTCATGGAGGTGCTTAATTTCAGACATACTATAGAAATACCTTGATATGCACTGAGGATTGGTTTGCAAATGACATAGTCTTATGTTAGGAAATACATAAAATTCACAAGTAAACCCTAACGATGTTGACGAAAACATCGAGAACGATCAACCAATCCAAAGGAAAAACCGGGAAAACATTAGTTTTTTATTGGAATAATCAAACTAACGGAAGGAAAATAACAAGATACAATTGATCCTCTATTCTAGAGGAGGATCTATCTCTCCCAAATCTCTAAACGCCGCTAGAGCCCAAAACCCTAAGAGATCTCAAATTTCAGCCAAATTCAATATGTCCTAACCCTAGGAAAACAAATTATTTAATGCATACAATCCAAAAGGAAATCTCTAAACAGTCCCTAAATTCAAACTTTCGTCCTAAACTTCTCCTAAAACTTTTCTAATATGCTCTTTTGGAAAGGGCGGCTTGTGCGGCTCGTACAGAAGGCGGAGTGGTTCTGTCTCTGTTCCGCAAGTGTCGGTCTTGTGTGGACTGGCTGGACCAGTCTAACATCTTAATAGGTGAGATTATTTTTAGAACAAGTGAGGGATTAGAAGAATGGAGGAAATATTTGAAAGATATGGAGTTTAAGATTATTAGAACAATGATTCAATAAATGTTATGCAAATTCATATGATGTGAAACTAATATTTTGTAGTTGGAGGATGAGGTGACAACTAGGCATAATAAATTTGAAGATCTTGGTTCTATCACACATAAGAATGCAAAGGAAAAATTAGTTTATAAAAATAGAGTTTAGGTATGAAGAAAGGATTTGTGTATGGATTTGATATGCATTTGTAGAATAAAGATTGAGTCAATGCTTTGCAGAGCCAATAGATGTGAATTAATCTCCATTAGTTGGAAGATGATGTGGCACCTAAGTATAAGGGATTTGGCTTTCTTATATCAATCACACAAAAGAATGAGGACATAAAATCAGTTTGTTGATTGGCTTTGTGCTAGAAGTAATCTTTAAGTTTGACATTTCATTTCTAATTTTCTCTTAGTACAAGTTAGTTTTTGCTTTCCTTTGTTATGGGTGTCATCTCTCCATGACAATGCTGTCAAAATCTGACTTGATTGAACCTCTCCACCCACGCAGTCAGGTTCAACCAGATGAACTAGGTGGTGTTAGGAGGTTTCAAATGATGCCATAATAGTGTCATAATTAATAATTTTTGTTTATAGTTGATGAGCCATTTTTGAACATATTGGAAAGGTAGATTAAGATATAGAGCACTTAGAAAATGATATCTCAATGATTTGAGGTCCAGGTGCTATGGATAGAAGATATGACATAGGGTGGTGAGCTATGTTGCACCTATACATCCATTTATGAAGGCATATTGTATCCGATACACCGATACGGCACCGATACGTGTCAAATACGGCTTTGTCGTATCCAATTAAAATACTATTTAATTTCAAAAGGACACCATAGAACTACTGTATGAGTGGGCCGCAAAGTTTCAGCCTAGAGTGTGATGAGAAAGGGAGATCCTGACAGAGGAATGGAAGAATACATTATTTAATTAAATTTTAGCTAAATATAATTTATTTAAGTACTTATTTAATAATAGTTTGCTATAATTTAATATTATTAATGTCACTGGATTGATTGTTAATCACATATTTTTTACTGATATCTGTTTATTTAACTTATCTTAATTGTATAAATATCATAATTATGTTAATTTATTCAAATATATATTTTCATTTTTTATTTCTTAATGTTTTTTTAAAGTTAAAGTAAAATTTGATAACAATAAGATGTAATTTCTAGACATTAATAATATTTTATAATCTTTTTAATCAATTAAATTTGATGTAAACCATTATTATTAATTGTTATTAGTGAATCTGTGTATTGCTTCTTATCCAAGTAAGTATTTATATTTAATTTTGAGCTCTCTATTTTTCTTCAAATTAATTAATCCATTATGAGTGACTCTACATGTTGATTTAATGCATTTTTTCTAATTTATCTATTTCAATAAATAAGTTTGATGATATTTATATATGTTATATGATTACTAAAAAGTTTGCTCATGACTTATTTGTTATCTTATTTAATTAATATTAAGTGATTAGAGACTAATTTTAGATGTATTAAATTACTTTTTATTTAGATTTGAAAAATTATCTGGTAATATGAGAAGTTAAGTATTCGTTCAAAATTTTAGCTTGTTTGTTAGCTCGTTTAAGACTTAGATCAATTAATTTAGACAAGCCAGATATGATTATAATAGATTTTAAACAAGGCAAGTATATATATATATATATATGTGTGTGTGTGAAAGTGTTGCTCGAGCTCAATTCGAACATGAAATACTTGAAGTATGATCAAATCATGACCAACCCTTGATGTACTCGGCTCAGCTCAGTTACGACGATATATGCGACAACAATATGCTTCTTTTCCAATAGATTAGATTGTCAACCCTAAAGAGACTATCCTTAAGTAGACATTTGAACTGAATATCAAACATAATTAACATTGGAATAAGATTCAATTCTTAAATGATATATTTCTAATAGACTAAACCTTTTTCTTACACATTTCTTATCTTAAAATTCTTAGTATAACATCTTGATATTTCATTTTTGTGTTTTTGCATATATTAACTAACTACACCAACAAGAAGAGATATATTAGGTCAAGATAGTCAGATGGATTAACTTGCATACCAGATGATGATAGGGAGAAACATCAATATTGGATGATTGAAAAGTATCTATGGGAGAGTCAAGAAGCTTGCATCGAAGAAGCTGGTTTCATCATAAATGTGGCATATTTTCCTTTAGACAGAACATTATCATTATTATATATAAAGTCATGGTCACAAAAGTATTTTGGGATCCTTGGATGTTTGATTTCAAATATCTTTTGAGGATATTATTTTATGTCATTAATGCCTGAAGCAGCACTCCCAATGGGTACAATGCCATCAACATACATAGCAAGAATCATTGTGTCGAAGGAAGAGCATCAACAACAACAACAACAATAACATCAAGCCTTTGTCCCACTGTGTGGAGTCAATTACATGAATTCTTTTTTCTCCATTGTGTCCTGCTAAAAGTCAAATTCTCGTTTAAATATAATAAAAAAATATCAATTCTAATATTTTCTAACCAAGTCTTTTTAGGTCTACCTCTACCTTTCTTAACATAAGTCAAATCTAATACCTCTACTTTCCTAATCAAGTCATCGGAAGGCCGTCATTTTATGTGACTAAACCATCTAAGGCGACTCTCTCTAATATTATCTTCTACTAGAGCTACTCCAACCTTTTCATGAATATGCTCATTTCGTATCCTATCTCTAAGGGTAAAGCCACTCATCCACCTGAGCATCCTCATCTCTGCAACGCTTAACTTAGTATTATGCTTTTCTTTTAATGGACAACATTCTGCACCATAAAGCATTACAGGTCTCACCACCATCTTATAGAATTTTCCCTTAAATTTGAGGGGGGACTTTTCTATCACACAACAAGCCCGATGCATTCCTCTACTTCAACCATCCAACTTGAATTTTGCTGATAATATCCCCATCTATTTCACCATCACTCTGAATAATAGATCCAAGATATCTAAAACGTGTACTCTTATTAATCAATTGATCAAGTCACAATCGCCTCACTAGGTCTATTAATACTAAAATTGCACTCCATATATTCAGTTTTAGATCCACTCAAGCGAAAACCTTTAGACTCTAAGGTTGACCTCCATAATTGAAGTTTACCTTCAACTCCCTCTCTAGTCTTATCAACAAGAAGAATATCATCAGCAAAAAGCATACACCAAGGTACATCCTCTTGCAAATGTCTAACATCCATGACTAAAGCAAAAAGATATGGGCTTAAGGCTGATCCTTGATGTAATCCAACCGAAATAGGAAAATACTAGGTCAAATCACATTGTATTTGAACACAAGTAATAGCTCTTGCATATTTATCTTTAATGATTTGAATATAAGCGTTAGTAACTGATCAACAACACTACTTTATAGTTCAATATCAGCCAAAGCTTTAAATTGTAGAGCCAAGCATGAGGACTATGTTTCAGTCCGCTAATAACTTTTTGAAACTTGTATGTTCTGTTCTTCCTCTGATATGTTTATTAATCTGTACATTTGTTGTGTTTATGCTTGCAATTGTTTAACAGAATTCAACATTATGGTGTGATCTAGTACTGGTTATCTTATGGTGGCGTGACTTTCTATGTTAACATTGTCGTTAGCTTTTGATTGAATCAGAATTTCTCTTCTCTGTTTATTATCAGATCATTTATATGAACAACACCAAATTTGGCACAATGCTCCTCCACCGCCGGTAGATCAAGTTGTCAAAATAGCCCCAAATCCACCTTTACCACCCTTTGCTCCAAGCCTTCCCCATCATCCTGTCCATTTCCATCCACCTCCTCCTCTGCCACTCGTTCCCAGCAATAGTGAAGGTTCTGGATCAAGTTATTCTGGATCTGACAATCCACCACCTCCACTGTTACCCAGCTTTGCACTTAGTTTCTCGAGGAGCGCATTTACATATGAAGAGTTGGCAATGGCGACAGATGGGTTCTCTGATGCTAATCTTCTTGGGCAAGGTGGGTTCGGATATGTTCATAGAGGAATGCTGCCAAATGGTACAGAAGTTGCTGTTAAGCAGTTGAAGTCTGGTAGCGGGCAAGGTGAGCGTGAGTTCCAGACTGAGGTTGAAATCATCAGCCGTGTGCATCACAAGCATTTGGTCTCATTAGTTGGATACTGCATTGCTGATGGCAAGAGATTACTAGTTTATGAGTTCATACCTAATAATACATTGGAGTTCCATCTTCACGGTAAGAATTTGGTCTCTAAATTTGTTGTTTTATTCTTTGCAATTTAATGTACTTAAAATTGTGGTAGTTTTTGTGGCTGTTAGTTTGGAGATAGATTGTATGGGTCTTGTCTTTGTAATTATATTAGGGAAGGTTTAAGCTGCCTTATTTTACAGGAATCGAAGAGATACAGATTCAGAGTGAAGAATCGATAAAAGTGGTCCCATATAGTTTCAGTAAGGTTGTAGGTGATGGAGTTGTATTTGTTTTGTTTATCAAACTGGTTTTAAGATTTAGAATATTTTCATCATTTATTTCAAAGCTCGACATTAATTTTTATTGTTTTTCTATTGGTCATGGAGGTGCTTAATTTCAGACATACTATAGAAATACCTTGATATGCACTGAGGATTGGTTTGCAAATGACATAGTCTTATGTTAGGAAATACTTGAAATTCACAAGTAAACCCTAACGATCTTGACAAAAACATCGAGAACGATCAACCAATCCAAAGAAAAAATCATAAAAACTAGTTTTTATTGATCCTCTATTCGAGAGGAGGATCTATCTCTCCCAAATCTCTAGACACCGCTAGAGCCCAAAATCCTAAGAGATCAAATTTCAGCCAAATTCAAGATGCCCTAACCCAGGAAAACAAACTATTCAATGCATACAATCCAAAAGGAAATCTCTAAACAGTCACTACATTCAAATTTCCCTCCTAAACTTCTCCTAAAACTTTTCTAATATCCTCTTTTGGAAAGGGCGGCTTGTGCAGCTCGTACAGGAGGCGGAGTGGTTCTGCCTCTGTTCCACAAGTTTCGGTCCTGTGTGGACCGGCTGGACCGGTCTAACATCTTAATAGGTGAGATTTTTTTTAGAACAAGTGAGGGATTACAAGAATGGAGGAAATATTTGAAAGATATGGATTTTAAGATTATTAGAACAATGATTGAATAAATGTTATGCAAATTCATATGATGTGAAACTAATATTTTGTAGTTGGAGGATGAGGTGATAACTAGGCATAATAAATTTGAAGATCTTGGTTATATCACACATAAGAATGCAAAAGAAAAATTAGTTTATAAAAATAGAGTTTAGGTATGAAGAAAGCATTCGTGTATGGATTTGATATGCATTTGTAGAATAAAGATTGAGTCAATGCTTTGCAGAGTCAATAGATGTGAATTAATCTCCATTAGTTGGAAGATGAGGTGGCACCTAAGTATAAAGGATTTGGCTTTCTTATATCAATCACACAAAATAATGAGGACATAAAATCAGTTTGTTGATTGGCTTTGTGCTAGAAGTAATCTTTAAGTTTGACATTTCATTTATATTTTTCTCTTAGTACAAGTTAGTTTTTGCTTTCCTTTGTTAAGGGTGTCATCTCTCCATGACAATGCTGTCAAAATCTGACTTGATTGAACCTCTCCACCCACGCAGTCAAGTTCAACCAGTTGAACAAGGTGTTGTTAGGAGGCTTAAAATGATGCCATAATAGTGTCATAATTAGTATTTTTTTTTTATAGTTGATGAGCCTTTTTGAACATATTGGAAAGGTAGATTAAGATATAGAATGCTTAGAAAATGATATCTCGATGATTTGAGGCCCATGTGCTATGGATAGAAAGATATGGCGTAGGGTGGCGAGAAAATTACCTATGAGGTTGTAAGAAGAGAGAGGAAGAGGAAAGCTTAGCATGCATAGAACTACTGTATGAGCGAGCCGTGAAGTTTCAGCCTAGAGTGTGATGAGAAAGGGAGTTCCTGACAGAGGAATGGAAGAGTAGTTTAACGAGGAAAATGGAAGATCCCATGGAGAAAGGGGAGAATTTGGTGGCTTCTGCTTAGAGATTCAACCTATTTTAGGCTGCTTTCTGGGAACTCCTAGCTCAATTAGCCAACTTGGCTTCTTGTTCTGGATTGAATTGTTTTACTGGCTGGTTTGCTCTTGCCTCTAGGTTTAATAGCAGTGGATCAACTACGTTTACTTGTCTTTATATTTAATGTTCTATTGTTCTTCTGCAGAAAAAGGTCGGCCACCTTTAGATTGGCCTACCAGACTGAAAATCGCCCTTGGCTCTGCAAAAGGACTGGCATATTTACATGAAGACTGTGAGTTCTATGTTTTGACTATCAATTACATGTGTTTTCTCATCTTTTTAATCTAGATTATACCAATCCAAGATACCAGTCAGTCTATACTCTCATAGAATTGTTAACTTTGCAGGCCATCCCAAGATTATTCATCGCGACATCAAGGCATCCAACATTCTTCTTGACTTCAAGTTTGAGGCAAAGGTAGAATTTTTGATCATTACCATGCACTTACTTGTTTCTTTTTACCTTCTTTGAATATTGATCTATGAATATATACTACACTCGTGCATGCTTTTTATTCTTTATTTACTTTGCTTTCCTCCAAGTATCGTTTCAGAGTTTTAAAAATTTTATTGGTATTCATACCTTGGTTCTTCTAAGATATAAAGAACATGGTATTAAGAAAAGAAAGATATTCTTGTTTGAAAAGGCTTTGGATGAGAAGATGAAACAACTTTTTTGAATAATAGAGTGATGAAATCAAGGTCTCTCTCTCACAAGCACCTTGATGACTTGAAGAAACCATGCGTTCTTCAAATTTATAGAAAAGAAAACCAGCAGCTATAAACATTGCACACACAGATGTACTTAATCCTAGTAGACTAAAATCCCCTTGGTATTGAAAAGGCGAAATAAAATCAAACTTGTGTTGCTTTGCAAGTGAAAGTTAATTTCCATCTTCTCTATGCTATGGCTTTGTTTGGGACTGCTTTCTTCCTGTTCTTAGCGGCTTTTTAGTACAAAAATTTAGAAAGCCGCTTTAAGAAGTAGTAAGAAAGCCGGCCCAAACGAAGCCTAACATAGTCAGAGAAAGCACTTTTCCTACAGTTCAAACATGCCATGAAAATGTAAGTATATCACTCAGCTTCTTAGCTAACTGGTAGTAATTTGCAGGTTGCAGATTTTGGGCTTGCGAAAATTGCTTCGGAGGTCAACACTTATGTCTCTACCAGAGTCATTGGAACTTTTGGGTATGACTATCTCAAGCTGCTCTTACTTGGTGATACATTTTCAAATGAATGAGTTTTGAGTAAGCTCAAGTGTTATTCAGCTATGCTTGTTAAGCAAACAAGCTCAAACTGTTTATGTTAGGCTTGTTTACTTATTGAGCTAAACACGAATTTTTAATCAATAAAAAGTATACTTAAAAATTATATAAATTATGAAAAATACATGTATTGTTGAGCCCAGTAGAAACAAGGAGCTTTTGACAGCCTTATGTCTTAAACGTGATGAGCCTTTATCAATCTGTGACAATAAACTTTTCTGCTACTGTTCATTATTTGCTTTCAGGTATCTAGCCCCAGAGTATGCATCTACAGGAAAGCTTACAGATAGATCTGATGTTTTCTCCTTTGGAGTCATGCTTCTCGAGTTAATCACTGGTCGGCGGCCCTATGATTCAAGTCAATCTTTTATGGATGATAGTTTGGTCGATTGGGTATGTATATCACACTATAAGGCCGTTACCACATAAATCTTCCATGGATGTTGGCCACTACTTACCTCAGTCGAACTGTGGCCGGCGGAATTCCTTCTTGAAATCAATCTGGAGTCGAGCTCGAAAAAATGATTTTTTTGCCCGAGCGGGCTTACCGGCTTTGCTTCTGACTACCAGCGTGTCATCGCCTATCTTATACAATATGAGCTCTTAGTCTGTTCCAAACTTAGTTTGGTTGATTGCAGTAAGTTTTTGTTGCCGCAGGCAAGGCCTTTGCTCGCTCGTGCTCTAGATGATGCGAATTTCAGCATCATTGTCGATCCTCGCCTTGGCGAGTATAACCGGACCGAGATGAGAAGCATGGTTGCTTGTGCTGCTTTTGCCGTGCGCCATTCGGCGAAGCGAAGGCCGCGGATGAGTCAGGTGCCATTATAACTCTGGTTTACATATCTGAATGTTGTTCATCTCTTATCAAAATATCTTTTCTCTCAGATTGTTCGAGCATTGGAAGGAGATGTTTTTCTTGAACATCTGAATGGAGTTAAACCAGGTAAAAGCGGTCCCTTTGCTTCTTACTGCGGCTCAGATTATGATGCAATGCAGTACAATGAAGACATGAAGAAATTCAGAAAAATGGCATTGGGAAGCCATGAATATGGAGACAGTGGATATAGTGAACTAACTAGTGAATATGGTCAGCTGCGCTCGGCCTCGAGCAGCAGCGAAGGCCAACAGACTGAAGAAACGGAGATGATTGTGGGAAAAAAAGGAAAACCAACGGCTTATCAGTAGCTGATAATTCTTTCCAGCAGATGTTCGATTGTAAATTACAGAATATTTTTTTCTTTTGATTTTATAGCCATTCATAATATTGATTTCAAAGATGTGTTTGACGATTGCCATAATGTTCTTGGAATATTTTTTTTAGATGAATTGTGTTGTTGCAGAGCTATTAATAGCTGATTAATAATTTTCATTATTTGCTTCCTTAAATGTCACGACCCGGTCCAGAGGGTCAAATTAACGAGGCGGGAACAGACAGTCAGATGGTATATTAAATTTTAATTAATTCCAAGTAATCGAATCGGCATCAAGCGTCTTCGTTTACCTTGGTTCGGGTTTTTACATTCAATATCCTAAATGACACATTCTATGATAGAATATTGTGATTTATAATCATATATATATAAATGACTCGTGAATTAAGCTTGACGAGATTGCTCTGAGCCAACTTATTAGCTTATAAGTCAGCCCATTTAAAAAATATTAATGTAAAGTACACTTAAAAAAATTACAATTCAAGAGTTTAAATATAATGTTATTTAATACATTTAAAATTTTTATCTCACTTACTTATATTAAGTGATTTATTATTATTTATTATCTAATTTTTCACTCATTCTATCAATTTTTTACAATGGCAATTTAAATTAAAATTATTTTCACTTTATCATACTAAATTTGTTAGTTTATGCAGTGGCTTGAGCTCATAAAATTAAGCTGAAATTTAATTAATTAATCATACACAAACTTCGATCGAGCTCGAGATCTACTCAATTGATTTACACCACCGATGAGAACCCTAAGAAGATTTTTGAATGTTTTTTCTACAAATTTATAGTGAATTTAGATTTTGTTTGAGATAATTTTCTTTCTGCTTTCTAAAACAGCTTTTTATTACAAAAAATTTTAATTTTAAGAAATTATTGTACTTAAAAATTATTCATGGCTATGTTATTCATCTATAAGTAGTCTAAACAGGTATTTATATATAAATATTCTAATTATGTATAGTAAATTATTGAAAAAATCAAATTGGCGGAAATCAAACCAGTTCGTGATGCTCAATGCTGATCTATAAATTCAATACGATTTCGAGCTCGAGCTGGTGGAGATCGGCCGAATCGAATTGGTATACATATCCGCGTATTCGGTCCAAAAAATTCCGTATATTTAATAATCCGATTTTAGTCCCTCTGGGTGTTCCAGGTTGTGTGAATTCCGAATTCGTCTCGAGGAGGAGGGCGATCAAACCCTAGAAGATCCGATTCGTCGCCACCGAATCACCGATAGCTCTCAAATCCATGGCGTCGCGCAGGCGTATGCTTCTGAAGGTCATCATCCTCGGGGACAGCGGGTGAGCGCTATGGCCCTTTTGCGATCTCCCTAAAGTTTTGATTTTGTTGTTATTTCCCTTTTGAAATTCTTACGTTTTGGACTTGTGACAGGGTCGGGAAGACGTCTTTGATGAACCAGTATCCTTGAAATTATGTGGTTTTAGTGGTGTTTGGCTTTTAATTGCTGAAAGAATTTAAGTTTTTTAAGAACCGACAAGCAGGAAAGGTTTGACCTTGATTAGTTGCGCAGATATGTCAATAAGAAGTTTAGTAATCAGTATAAAGCAACGATTGGGGCGGATTTCTTAACGAAGGAGATTCAATTCGAGGACAGGCTCTTCACATTACAGGTGGGTTTTTCCTTTTCTCCGTCAGGGCTGATTGATTTCCTTATATTGTTTCAGTTTTCTTTGGCCGCATGGGCTGTTTTTTCATGTTTAGGGTAGGTTTTGCTATGATATGCTTGGTACCTTGAGCTCCCCTGTTATACTAGTGAATTATAATTGATGTTCTTTATTTTTTGCTACTTTTTAGGCTTCATTTTAGATGGCCTAATGCTTTAAAGAAGCTTTTAGTACAAAAATTAATCTTAACTAGAAAGCTATTTTAAGCAGCAATAAGAAAGTCGTCCCAAACGAAGCCTAAGCTTCTTAAAGCAGCTTTATTAGTATAAAATTTAAATTTTGTACTAAAAAACCGCTTAAGAAGCGGTTAAAAAACTGTTTGCAGTTTGGTAGCATGATTATGAACATTAGATATGTTCCAATAAAATGGATACGATAAATTTAATGTTGAGGAATTGAAGAAAGTGCAGATTAAGGAACGTGGATGTTATTGTACAAAGATTGTGCAATGCTTCATATAACACTAAATAGGACAAAATGTAGAATAGAATAGATGAGGACATCCGCAGAGATTCGTCACACTTACCATCAGAGGAATCGAGTTTGACAGCTTACGATTCATGT